CACGTGTCCAAATCGACAATGGCGGGCAACGTTCTCCATTCTGGTTGGACGTCAACGTGCAACGAGTATTTCCTCGTAGTGTCAAAAGGAGGTGTCAAGACGTCCAAAGGTTGCACACTAGACAAACACAATCTCCGACACAATCGACAATCGTGCGACCTAAGGGGCCAAACAACCATCTATGGCTTCTTGTGTGCTTGTTGAAGCCATGGATGTTTGTTTGTTCCCTTGATGCGGCGAGGAATGGCCTCAAATGTAAGATTGGATGGATGTGAGTCGCTTGGCACGCATGCGGCCGACTGTGGTAAAATCGAGATACAACACGTTGAAGTGGACACTCGGTTCTCCATGAACCGGATCGAACGGATCCTCGTCGCAGAAGAGACCACGCCCGCGCCGCATAAGCTGCATTTTGTGTACGTGAACGTGGTGCTGTTGCCCAAGACCAAGCAGCCGTCGGACGCCACCACCATGGCCCTCGTCATGCTGTATGTGCAACTCCATGGATCGTCCAAGAGTTGGCGCTGGTGAGTCCAAGGTGGGCGGGCACTTGAGGCAATCCCTGCTCGAACGCATGTCAACACTATACACGGGGACGCATGACTAGAGTCCAGGTGGATCCATTCAGAACGAAAGGGGGATATGAGATCAGTGAGACATGCTCATATTATGTTGCAAGTTGTGCGCCCACCAGGCCCCCATTGTCGTATGATGCTCGTGTTCATCAACACTTGTCTACGTGTTCATCATTTTGATTCGTACGCTTGAACATTTCGTCAGTACCTTTTGTTGGGGTGTCCACGGGCGTTCATCTCCCGTGGACAAGATGTGTCGTGTCAGGTCACGGGCGCTCGTCTCCCGTGAACCATGATTCTTCGCTTGTAGATCCTTTTGTGTCAGATCGATGTAAGATCGAAATGCGATGTTACATGCAAGTACCTTTTGTTTTGTGTGTCCACGGGCATTCATCTCCCGTGGACACTGGACTCCCAGTCCTTCGCGCACACCAGTCGCAGTGCCCGCTCTCGTATACTTCGTGACTTGGCGAGACGGCAAAAGATGCTCACATCTCGGACTGGAGCAAGGTGCACGTGGTCTCCCTTGGTTGTACCAACCTCAACAGAATGACTCTGTGGTGAATCTCGGATGTGTATCCGGATGGTAGTTGGTATTGGTCCGAATTTTATCCGTACGATGTAGTTGTGTGCTTACACGTTAGCACATCATGTGACGTTATCACGTTCGGACCTTTCATGCTATGGAGGGGAAGGGCACTTGACCGTGTGGTGCTTTCAAAGTCGTCGCTACAGGAG